AAACTTTCACTATTTTAGAATGCAGAACATAAGGTTTGTTTCAAAACTTGTGCCTTCTAAATTACCAATACATGTAGGATGATTGTTTGTCTCCTGTCACTTATCGACTCCATTCTCAATGTGACAATTGGCAGTGATATATATTTCATTGGAGGCTTTGGCACTGTGGCTTGGGTTGATGTCAAAGAGTATGAAGCTTTACAGCCAGATAAAATAGCTGTTGATGGTGGTGAGCAGACCCTCAAGGTGCGTTATTCCTGATCCCTTTTGGTTGCCTCAAGAGACTCCAGTAATCCCTGGAAACTGGAATGATTTGAGTATGCTCTAAACTAACTTTCCCTATAACTTCTGTTAGGAACTAAATGCCATCTTCTCGAAACCGCTTAGAGAGCTACTATCTACTGAATCAGAGGTAGACGATGCTGCTCTCATTTCGATAGATAGCAAAGGGATAGATGTAAGAGTTCGTCAAGGTGCCCAGGTAAATAACATTGCATAAAACAGTTCTGTCAGCTTAATATTAAAAGCTTTCATGGTCATGCACAGTGCCTCTCAGCTTATGAAACTACAATTTGGAATATGAGGTTTTAATCAGAGTTTTCTACTAAATATTTAGGGCGTTTAATGCCTCACCACCACCAAAATAGTTTTGTTTTGAGGGAAGAGGATTAAGATGTTTACTGGGGATTAAGTCTATAGATGCTCGTTTAACAAGAGAGTGCCATCCTAAGCTGAATACAATATAATTTAGTTGGCATTCAAAGTTGTTGCTCTTCTCTAGTCACTGACAAAGACACATCATAATAAGAACGAGGAGCATCCGTCGGAAGAGACAGACTTCGGAATCCGTCAGTTGATAAATCAAAACATAACAAGAACTGATTAAAAGGCTGTTCGTCTTGAGTAAGAGCATTTCCCTTCATATATACGCCACGTCTCCGCGTCAAATTTTGTAGTTTTCTATGTTTTGGCCCCCCTTTTTGTAGAAAAAAACAAAAAATTAGGGGATAAGAAACTACAATTTGGAATATGAGGTTTTAATCAGAGTTTTCTAATAAATATTTTGGGCGTTTAGGCTGGACTGAGCTGTTACCTTTGCAGATAGATCAGCCTTTTCAATTCCATTATGAAGACTGACATTCACTAAGTGAACCCGAAAATCAATCAACATGATAATCAGAGACTGCCTTGGAGCATAAGCTAAATGCTTCTTAGCAAGTCTCTCATCCTTAACCAGAGCGTTCCATCCTTTGGGTGTAGTTCGTAGTCGTGCCAGAGGTATAGCCGGAACCTTAGAGAGTATCTCATCTTCCAAATCATCGGGAAGATGACTATCTGTGTTACTCTTACTTCATCATCTTTAAAGTAGACTGTTTTCAGAAGTTAGGATTTTGAGACCTAAAAAAAACTTATCCTTATTCATGTTTCTGTTTGCAAAGCGTCACATGATTCTAATATGGGTTTAGATCATGTTGCTTTCAACGGCAAGTCTATGTGTTTGGTGGATTAATGGTTGACAATCCCACATCATGCTGCGTTAACGCCAAGTCTTAGGTTTGAGGAAGAGCTTTTCATGGTGGAACAGCGACCTAGAACATTCCCAAATTATAAAATGGCTCGAGTTGAGAAGCTAATAAAACTTGTAGTGATCTGTGTTGCTAAGCTACGAAGACGACTTCTGAGCTAATAGTTTTTGATAATGCAGGCTTAATTTTTTCTTTTTTCTTTTTTCTTTATAAAAGAGTATGTCTTTTCGTACACATATGAAAAGACAGATAAGAAACCATATTGGTCATGAACTCATGATTAAAAAACATGTGTGACCAAAGATGTGCTGTAACTCGAACTTGCTACATAACCTGTTTACAATATAGAAAAACAGAGAATATAAATAAACTACTACAACTTGTGTTTTGTGTACTGGCTGAGTTGGGCTTTAAAAAAGCATATTGCTTAGTTTTTCTGAAGCCTACCTATGCGCGTTTATCAAGAGAGAGAACCAACCTAAACAATGCACAAACCAGCTCCTCCAAAAACTAGATACCTTGTTGGATTTGAACCAAACCTGGAACATAAGTGAGGAGACGTGTGACATGAGAATTTGCACCCTTTTGATCCTCATGTATGTATGTATTCTTTCCCACAATCTGTATAATGTTGTTGGAGAACCCGGAGTTATTACAAGACACTACCACTTTGTTCTCCTGGTCGACCAAGAAACTCATCCCAATACAAAACCGCAAATGATTGCGGAGATCGAATTTGGACACTGTTAGGAACTTGCTCCATGAAAGATCTCCGGTACCCTCCATCTTAGTCGCTATCCATACCTCATGGCTCCAAACAGCAAGCAAACAAAGCTGTTGCTCTTCTCTAGTAACTGATAAAGCCACATCAAAATAAGAACGAGGAGCATCCTCGGGAAGAGACAGACTATGGAACCTCTCTGTTGAGAAATCAAAATACAGTAAGATAACACCTAGTTCTTGTCGACAATAAGCAAGCCAGTAAGTATTTCCCATCACAGATATGCCAAGACTCTGAATCCGTGGTATGAAACAGTCTACAGTGCCACCAACAACCCTCCACGACTCAGAGGTAAAGTTATAGACTTGGTATTTAGTTTGAAAGGGGACACGATGTCCACCCATCCTCAAGATTTTGTAACAGGAGGATCGGTAATCGTAACCGAGAGCATAGTGGTTGATTTCCCCGTAGCCAAGCCTGTGTTGGACGATCCACCTTTTTTCACCAGAACATGGATTCCAAACAACTAGCCTATTGTCTCTGGTGGTGCATAGCAACAAGCCGTTGCAGTGAAAGACGTTACATATATCAACTTCTTGTTCTGAAGAGTTGGAAAGAGGATCTTTTAGGCTGAATTGACTTGTTACCTTTGCAGATGGAGCAGCCTTGTCGTTGTCAATTCTATGGAGATCAATGCTCACTAAATAAACCCTAGAATCAATCAACATGATAAACAGAGGAGACTGTCTTGGAGCATAAGCAGAGTGTTTCTTAGCAAGTCTCCCATCTTTGACCAGGGCGTTCCATCTTTTGGATGTCGATCTCAACCGTGCCAGAGATACAGCAGGAACCCTAGAGAGTATCTCCACTACCAAAGCCTCTTGGAGATGCATTGTGCCTCTGGAAAAGTGACTGTTTCTAGAAAGATTAGGGTTGAATACTTTAGTAGAAAAAACGTTCCATTCGCTTGAACTGTCTGAACGTGTGCCTCACTGATTTCACGTCCTAAATTCAGCTGAATTTGGGCTTTTGGGCCTCCACTACTTGAGAGGCCTACGGCTTCTACTGCAAGGAAACGAAAGTTTTACGTTTTCATGATTTGGTCATTTTGAGTTTTTGACTCTTAGGTAAGAAAATTATAATTATAGTACACGCAAAGATGAAAGAATCGTCTCCCACTCGCCTTAGAGAGTATCCTCACTACCAAATCTTCCGGAAGATACATCCTCTTCATCATCTTTAAAGCATGCTAGGGTTTTTAAATAAATTAGTTACGGTTGCAAGAGATGGACATGAAAGCTTTGGGCCAGATCCAGCTGGACTGAAGAAGGTCTCTCTTTTGTTTCAATAAAATGGCTTCTCTAGCAAAATTCTAGATAGGTAAACAGAGAATATACTCTTATGTGGAATTACTAAATGAAAACTGATACTAATTGAGATACATAAAAATAAGATAGCCCTGATTTATAGATACCTCATTGAGATACCAACAACCCTTCATGAATTATAGAGGTTAAGTCATCTTTAAGCAGAGTGTTTTTGGACCTAAAACTTTTTCTCATTCATAATTCTCAAACCATAACAGTTTCGTTTCTAGAGATTTTGTTTACAATATACAAATGCTCCGTCAAACATATATAAGATAGATACAGCAATTGTTTGCGTAGTGGGATGAATTATGCTAAAAAAACTATCAACTCAAAAAGAATGCTGATACTTTCCATTACAAAAGGGAGATTGATTCTTTGACTGTCTTCATGGATTCAGTATCAGTTTGGTTCTTCACATCTCTGCGAGCACCTTACGCGGTGCGGGATCATCTGGCCCTTTGTCTCGTTGCCCGGAGGTAAAGTATAACTGCCCTTCCCAATACCCAACCAGCGTAGTATTCACACGGTATGGCAACTTTCCAATCACATACCATTTCTGCAGAGAAAATAAGTTTTCCAGCTACAGTTTACACTTTTAAATAGGATAGAGAGGTTTTAAGCATGAAGGCCACTTGGTTTTTACCATTGTATTCAGATTGAACTGGAAGATTTCACCAACAAGGACCATCTTTTTCGTTTCCGGATGCTTCTCTGTGGTGCCTCCGACGATTACAATGGAGTTGTTAACCACTTTCCAAGCAAACTCAATATGGGAATCCGGTTTTGGCATCGATGGCATGACTTTCCACTTCATTTCCTCATCCAGCATGTAGACATCACTAAATACCACCTGAGCCACCAAGGTGAAAAAAGGACACATGATGTTCATAATAAAGCAACACTTGAGTAATTTCATCCAAGGAAGAGGAGGAGTCATGATACTTAATTGAACAGGTAGTCTATTATATACCTCCATACGACGTGAGCATTTGAAGATGGGAGATCCTGGTTTAGCCATGAAATCACCTTCCTGACCTCCAATGACAAAAAGCCGGTCATCCACTACTACGCATGCTCTACAGTAACGAGAACAGTCAAACTCAGATAAAACGGAGAAAGGTGTATGAAGTAGCTTAAGGATCATCTACAACAGAGTTGTGAAAAATAACCTGTGAGGTCCTCCACGAGGGATTGGAATTTCGCTTCTCCACTCTTTTTCCAATGCTTTCCCATCTTTTACTGCAATACTCCAGTGTTCAAGCCCTGGTGTATGCCTATTCTCCTTGCTTCCACCCATTACGTGGAGTCTACCTCGCCAAAGCTGAGTAGCTGGAGCATACCTGAATGTAAACAAAATTTGTCTCTCAGTTCCTCTTAAGCATTTAGCATCACCAGCAAATCTTGAGCAGCAAAATGATATCCAAGCGAGCTAAGTTGCCGTTTCTCAAACCCAAAAATATCATTTGTAGGAATGGTACATAATCCTTAAAATAATCCGATCAGCATATTATCCAAATTGAATCTACTTGTTTCAAAATTACCTAGGAACTGGTAAAGAAACGAAGTCACTCCAGGAATTTGTATCAGTGTCGAGCACAAATGTTTTAGCTGTAGGCCCTCTACATTGAGGACCATATTGACCAGTGACAATGTAGATGTATCTCCCATCCGTTACCATACCTAAATGTGAATGCGTCATCTCTTTTGGCATATCAAATCTTCCTCCCCATGTATTATCTACAAAATTGTATATATCAACATGGGAATGTACCTGAATTTCGAAGACACAGAATAAGACAACTCATCATTGGTCAGAAACTACCAAATGCTACTGAAAGAAGGATACAAGAGGCTTACAATATCAATGGTGCCGTATCCAGCAAACACATATAGAAAATTCCTAATCTGAATTGCAGCTCCATCTAAACGAGGCACAGGAGCAGCTGCCATCTTCTCCCATTTAAGCTCAGGAGCAGCCAAATCTTGAAACGTTGCAGAAAGCTTCCTTTCCCGAACTTTATCGTTCTTCTTCTTCTCAGTATCTTTGCCCTGAAAAAAGCACCAAAAGCAGACGCAAGAAGTGAGAATTTGAGCATATTGCTTTGAGATCCAATTCAATGAAGGTACATCAACAATGAGACAACAATGAACCAGTTACATTGATATTAGGAGGAAGTTGTCCGATCACGGTGGTAACGGAGGAGGGAAGAGACATCCCAACGGAGGAGAAAGGATGAAAAGAAGCCCAAAGGAAATCTCCAACAAGTCCGGCAGCTAAAAGAGCGAGGAGTGAAACTAACACAACCCTCCCACAATTCTGCTTCCCAGCTTGCCTCGCCATATCTCTCTGCTTCTCTGTTTCTCTCTAAATTGGCATCTATCTCCCTTGAGGGTTTCGCAAACTTCAAGCAAAGGTTTAACCTTTTGGTTTGAATACAGGTAAAAAACACAGATTTTGGTTTTTGGAAGATGCAGAGGTGAGGGATCTTGAACCCCGAGAGGAGATGCGGAGGAGGGCAAAGCCGTGTTTTTTTCTTCTCTCTGGTTATACATATTTATTTTCCTTATTTAAATATTAATGAGCGATTGAAAAGAAAAACATTCAGGTTTTAAACGCAAACGCAGATTCCGAGCTCAGTGTTCTCCCTACTTTTCGCCGCCGGCTTCTATCGTCACTCTCTGTTTATCAGATCTTATTCCGTCGCGCTTCGGCTTTAGCTTGTTTTGATAAAAGGTTTGGCTTTCTTCCTTTAACACATGTTCGATTCTCATATTTTCACAGGGTTTGTATTAGCTGTGGTTACTAGAGTCTGCTCTTCTTCCTTAGTCTATTTGGATTATAATACTGACTTCTTAGGTTCCGTTTAGAATCCTTCATATCTTCTTAATTTTCCTTTGTGGCGGCTATAGGTTCGAAATCGTATACCAATTTGAAGTTTTTTGGTGCTTCTGGTGCAGGGGGTTAAGTGATGGTTTCTGGTATGGCTCAGTGTGTGAGGTCAACTCTAGATCCTTTGAGAACACCCAAGAGCGTTACTAGGACAGTGTCTGTAAAAACCCCAGCTTTTGCGTCAGTCTCGTTCTTGAGAACATTACCGAAGTTCAAGAAATACCCAAAACCCTGTTCATTGGTTATGGCTTGCTAGGGCAAGGCCCAAAACCAGCAGGAGGGGAGACCACAACTGTCTCTTGATGATTTAGTCACGAGTAACCGAAAGGGAGAGGTTCTTGGCACAATCAAAGACTCGCTGTCAAATTGTCTCTCTGAGACGAATCTTCTAGAGACTGTTCCTGGTCTGAAATCTAGAATCAGGGGAAAGGTTGGCAATGTTTACTTTTTGTTTCTTACCTGAATGAGAAGACCAAGCTTTTGTGCTAAACCTACATAATTGTTGATTTTAGAATTCAGAACTGATCAAGGTTGTAAAATTGATGTTGCAGGTCAGAGATATTTATGATGCTGGTGATTATCTGGTTCTTATTACAACTGATCGGTTGAGTGCATTCGACAGAAATCTTGCTTCAATTCCCTTCAAAGGCCAGGTTTGTTTTTCTCCATGTTTGTGCTCTATATTCAAGTTAGATAGCTTTACATCGTTGCCCACAATTTTTTCTCGTTGGTCTGTAGATCAAACTGCAAGGAATAATAAGTTTGTGGTACTTTCAGGTTCTTAATGAGACAAGTTTGTGGTGGTTCAATAACACACAGCACATAACTCCAAATGCAATTGTTTCATCTCCTGATAGAAATGTTGTTATCGCAAAGAAATGCTCGGTTTTTCCCATAGAGTTTGTGGGTTAGTGTGTTATACCGAGTAACTTGTCAGACACTTCCCTATGCAGCCTCCATTTGCTTTAGTTCTAAGCTGTTCTCTTATGTTTGTTTTTTGAAGTTAGAGGATATGTGACTGGAAGTACTGACACGTCATTATGGACGGTTTACAATAAAGGTGTTCGGAACTACTGTGGGAATGAGCTCTCATATGGTACAGTTTCTTTTATTGCCATATGTTAGTTGTCTTCTTCATTAAATGCATCGTAGAATATCATTGATATGCTGATCACTAAATATGCAGGATTAGTAAAAAACCAGAAGCTTCCAGCTAATATACTTACACCAACAACTAAGGCAGCGGATCATGATGTGCCCATCTCTCCAAATGAGGTCTAATAATCTGTTACAGTAAAGAAATGTGGAAACCATAAAAAGTCTTTAGAGCCATTAGTTTGCTGTTTCTGTGATCTGCTTAGCTGTAAGACAAGAATATTTCAGCGACAATTGTATAGTCTGTTTTTCTTCTAATTCTCCTGATAATTCTTGCAGATAGTTGAACGTGGATTCATGACTCAAGCTGATTTTGATGAAGCAAGTATGAAAGCTTTGAGCTTGTTTGAGTTTGGGCAGGTTAGTTACAACTCCTCCGTCTAAAGTCATTGACTATTGTGATTTTCATAATCTCTAAATTGCAGACCACAAGAAATCAGTTTTTAATATATTTTACTGGCTTCAACATGCAAATGTTATGCTTTGTTGGAAGGGTCTAATGGATTTTGATTATATCATGCTTGCTTCAGCGGGTTGCCAAGCATCATGGACTGATACTGGTGGACACAAAGTATGAGTTTGGAAGAAGTAGTGATGGCTCAATCTTATTGATTGATGAGGTATGTTATCTTATCTCTTTTTTCCTTGTCTGTCTCTCTTCGAATGCACAGTTGAACGCATATCTGCACAGCTGCCAAAATCACTGATTAGAATCATCATCTACTTGTACACATTGTGAATAGATTCATACACCCGATTCCAGCAGATACTGGCTTGCAGGTTCATATGAAGAGCGCTTTCAAAAAGGCCTGGAGCCTGAAAATGTTGATAAGGTTAGTGATTTTGACTTTTCTTGCCCTCAGTCAGGTTGCATTGGTTTGTAGTACTTTGTTCACTCACATGTTCTGTTTCTTTTAATCCAATAGGAGTTTCTAAGATTGTGGTTCAAAGAGAACTGCAATCCGTATGAGGACGAGGTATGCTTACATCTTCCCAATGTAATTTCTATTTTCCTAATTTATCTGAGAACCCTTGCTAAAATTCTTGGTGTCTCGATTGCCTATAATTTTCAGATCCTGCCAGCTGCCCCTGCAGAACTCGTGACTGAATTAGCTTGGCGGTATGTATTTTGATCTGTAAACTTTATTATAAGATTGTTCGAGTAGATGCTTTTGATATGGAAAGGTACATTGTCTGTGTATATGAAATCAGACATTCGCTGGACTATGTTAGTTTTAGCTTGAAGTCTTGGTATTAAAAACTGATGCAAGAAACCGTGATGATTGCAGGTACATTTTCTTGTATGAAACTATTACTGGATCAAGAACTGACATTATTCCAACTCAGGTTTGATCCTCATCAGTTCCAAAATCTCAACTGACTCTTCGGAGTTTCAAGCGTATTGATCTATAGCTTTGTTTATAGGAACCGATACATGACCGGATCTCAAGAAACACAAGACAAACACTTTCATCTCTCGGTCAACTTTGATCTTTAATAACCTTTAGCCTAGGAGGCAGAGAGCATGAGTCTGTTTCTTTTTGCATTCCTATGTCCGATTGTGGTTACTGATTATGGATTAAAGACCCTTAAGTTCAATTGGGCAGTCTTACATATGAAGAAAATTTTGTGAAAAAATTATCCTACTTGGTAAGAAGTCCGTATAAGAATCCATTTGCTTTCATTCTTGAGGCGGGATTGGTGAAGTAGAATATATAGTTGTATCAGAGAAGAAAGGATCATTCTTGCTTTGGATCTTCCATGTAATATAAATATATAGTTGAAAATGAACAAAACTAAAAAGACATTCATCTATATTGACAAATGAAGTAGCTTTGTCCAGAACCAGGGTTTACGACTCGATAAGAAGGTAACAATTACCGATGAACAGACGAAAACTTAAAACTTGAAGGTTTCAGTCACTATTGTCCTGCCTATCAATGCTTTGTCGAGGTTAGTACTTAGCTGTAATTTCTATTGCAGATTGGCCTCCCACAACTGCCTTTTTGGAGATATGTAATATCCTAACTTGTCTCTTTACCCTTCTTTCTGTTCCATGTTATAAAACCGGCTTTACCTTCTACATATAAACAATATTCTTCTACTTCCTGCTTTTATCAGTCTCTACTTTTCTGCAACCAAATAAATTAAAATCATGTAGTTAATACCAATTAAATTTTGGAGAACCTTCAAGTTGCAGTCTTGCTTAAAGTGTCTACCTTTTCACGCTTTCTTTCTGCTTCTATCGAACCTGGAAACTTCCAGGAAGAGGTATTAAGAAGTGTTAACAATAGCTATGCGATAATGCGACTGAATTAGGAGAAAGTTTGAACTTACCAATTGCTAGGCTGATTGAAGTGAGGATGCTGCCTTATTTTCTGTAGTAACAGAGAGAGTAGCACAATTTTCTTTCTCAAACTCGGGGTCTTGGGTTTCACCGGTCTTCGATGGAGAAGCAAAGAAGCTATCAGGCAGAGCGTTCTCGAGACTTGTCTCTTGCCTTGAGCAAAAATAATAAAAGCACGGATAAGAGTGGATGTATAATTCTACAGAAAATACTTAAAAGCCCTGAAAATGATCTTAGTAGCCATACCCTTTGTTGAAGTAGTTATTGTAACCACGTTCGTGGCTGCTGTTATGGTCCGTATCACTCAGAAATGCTCGATTTGCTTCAGCCTGAAAATGTCCTGAATCACCATTACCTGCTTAGAGGATACATGGGAGGACAAAAGTGAATAAAAGCTAGATAAAGCCAAATTACATGTAGGGATTAGAATAACCTTCGATGACTTCTTCACTGGTGTTTTCTGATTGAAATAGCATGCTTTGATTGCCACGAGAGGTAAACTGAACAGGGGAGCCAATAGAAAGACCACGCTGGTGATGGAGAAACGATTCACTGTCCATGTCGGGCAACTGTAGATTCAGAAATCTTCTCCTTTGGAATTCTATTGCTTGTTGCAGGTCAGCTTGCTCAGCTTTTCGCCTCATCATCTCTTGTGAGTTAGAAAACATCCTTGGTGCTGGTAGCAAACAAAACAAGAATGGTCTCAGAATAAATACCAAAAAATGAAAGAAGTCATTGAGCTCTGATGAAACCATATCCACATGGTGAATCAAGTATAGGAAAGAATTCTACTAACCGAGGTGACAATCAAAAAGATCTCTGGAATCCATTGCAGATGGACTTGAACCAGGAGAATAGTTTCCTCTCTCCATCTGCTGCAGCAGTTGTTGCTGTTGCCTTCTGCTGTTATTTGATGTAAGAAGTTTATAAGAAAAGAGAACACATAAAAGAAGAAAACTGTGGGAAGGAGAGAAAAAAAACAGACAAGGCATGAGCAGTGGTTTCAACATACTTTTCAAGGATTCTTCCCTTCTCCTTGTACGGTTTAACGAGCACACGTGAATCACAGATGAAATGAGGATTTCCTCTGGCCAATATGATTCTCACAGTTTCAGAGTGGACAAAAGTGACAAACCCAAACATTCGTTTCTGCTGGTAGGGAATCCTAACATCTTGCACTGGTCCAAAATTGCTACAAGAAAACAAGAAACATGATTAATCTTAATAACAGAGCAAGGCACACGTTAATAGACATCCACCAAACAATTGATGATGCAAACATCTAACAGCATTGATCCAATTGTATATTTGAAAGATTACCCAAAATAATTGGAGACATCTTCATCTGTGAAGGAGCTGTCAGCTGGAAATGTCAAATAAATCTGTTTAGATGCAGAGTTAGATTTATCTCCCATTCCCATAAACTCATCCCTTTCATGCCGGCCTGGACTACCAAACCAGTAACCCTCTTCCCCAAATTGTCCTGCTCCTGATCTACAAAAACAAAACACCACCAAAAAAAGAAAACTATCAATTTCCAAAGATTTCTTCAATCATACTTCAAACATAAGATTGACTAAAGAGCCTAGGAAAAAAAAACAATCATTGGTTTGTAAATGAATACCAAAAGTAGTAAAACCATATGAAAAAGACGTCGATAACCACAATGATATAAGCAATAATTGACATCTCAGGCAACAAAAAAAATCACAAAGATTAAAACTTTTCCATGATCCCGCAACCAATACGTCTTTTTTGGTAAAATCTGAAGTCTTATGCCAAAAAAAAGAGCTTCCTTTAATAGTTACCTCTGCGCATTACGCGAATGAAAGAGCAAACTGAGGCCTTTTTCGTACGACATTGGAGAACCAGTAGCCACCAAGTACTGAGCAGCGGCCATTCGCTGGCGCTGAGCCATCTTCATCCTCGCCATCTCCTCTTGCTGTCTAGAAACGTAATCCGGCGAGCCAAAACCACCAGGAGAATCAAAATCATCACCTAAACCACCGTGTTGGAACCTGTTGTAACCGCCGGCGGCAAATCCGGGCTCTTCTGACCCGAAACAAGCATCACTGGCTGAGAAACTCCTCTTATGCAGATGCGCATCTCCATTATCAGCCGAGAAACCAAACGGATCCACAGATTCGTCGTTGTTCTTGGAAGAAGACTCGTTGAGAAACGAGAGGTAGTTGCCTAGTTGCTGCTCATCGAGGAAATCGCCGTTTCCGCCAGAAGAGTCACCAGCAGCAGCAGCAGTAGCACCGTCTGAAGCAAAAAGAGAGGAACTTGCTTGAAACGGACTGGAAATGATGTTAGGGTTACTTCCGAGTGAGCCAGGAGTAGTGAAAGAAGGAGACAAAGGGTTCCTGGAAAAGTCCATAAACCCATTTCCCGACGACTGAGACAAGGAGTGACGGTGGATGTTGATGGGTCTGGAGATAGGGTTCAATGGGGAGGAAGCAGAGGAGGAAGAGGAAGATCCATTGGAAGAAGAGAGACCTAAAGCAGATTTAGCTTTGAGACAAACGGACTGTAAGAAAGTGTCGGGTCCAAGAGCCAGACGCATCAAATCTCTCTTACCCAAGTCCTGTAAAAGCAAATAACCAATGATTTTGGAAGCGAAATCGGGTTCTAAAGTTCTGATCTTTGTGAAAAGTATCGAAGTAGGATCTCCCGGATCCATCGTCAGAGTAAAATTTCTTTACTTTTTTTTTGTTTTTCTTTTGAGTTTCTCAGAGAGAAAGAAAGAGAGAGAGAGATTGAAGAAGGAGAAGAGGCTTTCTCTTTGTTTTGAGAGAGAGAGAGAGAGAGAGAGTAGTGGGAGTAGAAGTAGTAGTAATACTAAACTTGGTTTTTTTTGTAGCGTTTTAATGTGATGTTTTTTTTTTTTTTGGGAGATTTGATTTGAGTATGATTTTGTCTTCTAATGAGGATTTTTTAAAAAAAAAAGAAAAAAGAAAGAGAAAACTACTTTGGTAATGTGTTTCTTTAATTTCGGGTTCTGTTTTTGGTGATATCGGGTTTAGGGTTCTTTTATTTATATATTTTGGAGTTGGTCGAGACTACTAGGAGTAGGAGAGGAGGAGCGGGATTATAGTTAAAAATCGAATTTGTTTTCCTTTATTTTTGGCTAAAAAGGATAAAAATTCGTCATTAAGATTCTATTTCCCATTGGATGCATGGTTTTCTTTTTTGGATTTTGATAAAGATGGCATGCATGGTTTTTGTAACCTATTATTTCTAGTCAACTAATAGTTGATTTTTTTTTAGCTTTAGCTTTATGTTGTGACTCTCTTTTTTATATACACATTGAAAGTTTTTCACTAAAACAAAAATTGTTGTATATAGTTTATTAAGTTTTTACAAATCTTCTTCAATTAATTTAATTTACACGTTACGAAATTATAAAAATTCAATCAAATTTTATACGTAGTTTTACACAATTTTAGTTTGATAAAAAGATGAGTTATTTATATGTCTTATATTTTACTGTTTTTGAAACTTAACATATTAATTAGTTCTAGATTACATGCACAAAGAAATTGTGAAATACAACTTTCTGAATAAGTGTTTGCGTATCCATGCAATTTGATAGTTGATTTTACGTGTCAAGTCTTATTTGGTCAATTCGTTGAAAATTAAAAATTATTCTAGCAATCTATACTATATAAATAGATTAGTGATTAAGGCAAAACAAAAATATGAACTTCCCAAAAATATATGGGTATCCATGGACTCGAAAGTCAGTTGTGCGATCTTGGCTTACAAGTATTGTTATCTATGAACGGTGATGAATGTAAATAGAGGTTAAGGCGGAAAATCGAAGAGTTAGTTTCATATGCATTGATTCTTTGTGTCGTATGTTGAACGAGTTGAAAATAAAAAGTTTATCGTTATATTGTTTGTCGTCTTGTAGATCATATTTTAAATCGTATTAATAAGTTCTCCAAATGGATCGGAATATCGGTGAAATTGTCGTCTTGTGCATATCTTCTTATACTTTTGGTAACGTATTTAAAACGGTAATAGTAAGTTCTCCGAATAAATCGGAAAGTCGGTGAAATTGTCGTATTGTGCATATCTTCTTACACTTTTGGTAACGTATTTAAAACGGTAGTAGTAAGTTCTCCAAATGGATCGGAAGATCGGTAGAATT